AAATACACTCGAGGACAGCATTCTAGCCTCCAATATAACCCCACGCTTTGGGTCCCAGCTCTCCCGTTTCTCCCTTGCCTGGTCCCGGATCACCTCAGATTGTTGGTGTCATGGCTCCTTCCCCACTCTGGCATGATAAATGCAGAAGTGGGGGCCAGAAAAGGTACCCCAAAACCTTATCTACCAGGCTTTGGTATAAAACTTCCCTCCAAAATCTTAACAACCTAGATTTTGGGAATAAAACGCCGCTGCCACCACCCAAATATTAATAAAGCAACCAGGGAGAGACTACTTGAGAAATCTCACCCCTAAAGTACAAACCAGGACACAAAAATTAACCAATATCAGGTTAATAAAAACAAAAGAGAAAGAACTTTATTATCACCATAATATTCCTGTTGCAAGCATAATGACTAGATGGAACAGTAACAAAATAATATACTCATGGAGGAGAAATTTACCATGGGCCAGGAACTTAGTTACAAAGGAGAGCAAAACCCATTTTAAATGCACAGACCAGATCCCATTTCCCAAACCATAAAACCTAATGGATTTATCTAAACTTTATCCTACTTACAGACTGTAAAGAGTATTTTCTTAGAGGGAGACATCCTGTCCCCTTCAATAGCTGGAAAGAAACTACCCAGGGACAAAGGAGAAGGAAAAAAACCAAACATTCTTTTGTCCCAGTTTGAAATTCCTACCTACATTTCTATTGGCTGCCTGCCACCTGGTTTAGGTAAAGGACGTAGTTAACCCCTTAGTCCCCAGGATGCTGGCTAACCCTCATGATCATGACAGTTGGATACTCAGCCTGATGGAAAGTGGATATGTTATCCCCTTCCTGTCCTCCCACCCACTCACCCTCCCTCCCCATCCCTCTTCAGGGACCTTTCTCACAAGTTACTGCTAGAGCAGGAGGTATCTGCACTCCTGACCATAGGAGCAGTCAAGCATATTCCAAGGGGCTTCGAAGGGAGAGGGTTTTACTCCAGCTATTTCCTTATCCCCAAATCCAAGGAGGACATTTGTCCTATTCTGGACCTAATTAATCTAAATTATTTTGTGAAGAACGTAAGGTTCAGGATGGTCACCCTCGCCTCAATCGTTCCCTCCCTAGAAAAAGGAGACTGGTATGCTGCCCTTCACTTGAAGGACACATATTTCCACATTAGCAATAATTCTGGCCCACAGGAAATTTCTCAGGTGCTTAGTTGGCCAGGACCATTTTCAGTTTGCAGTCCTGCCATTCAGTTTCTCCGCAGCCCCAAGGGTTTTCACCAAATGTATGGCTGTTGTAGCTGCATTCCTGAGATGGCACAGGATCCAGGTGTTCCCTTACCTTGACAACTGGCTAATCAAAGGGTCATCCAGAGACCAGGTCCTCAAGCACATCGACTTCGTCAAGGCTCTATTTCACAAGCTGGGTCTCCTTAAAAATGAGGAGAAATCCATGCTCAACCCCACCCAGATAATAGATTTCATTGGGGTGCACCTGGACTCTACAGTGGTGAGGGTGTCCCTCCCCAAAGCCAGGTTCTTAGCCATCAGAGTGATAATAGAAGGCCTCAGAACCTCACCCCTCACAACAGATGGTACTTGCATGAGGCTGATAGGTCACATGGTGGCCTGCACATTTGTGGTGCAACATTCCAGGCTGTGGCTGCAACACCTTCAGGCATGGCTGGCTTCCATTCACAGCCCAGTTCGAGCGCCTCTGGAAGCTCTACTCATGGTGCTAGAAGAGGTTCTCCGGTCTCTAGACTGGTGGTTGCAAAGGCAAGTCGTGTGCCATGGAATCCCGTTTGCCAGACGGATCCCGTCAATGCAGCAGGTGACCGATGCATCGGACACGGGTTGGGAAGCTCACCTATCAAACCTCAGACCCCAACCAACAGATGCAGACCCCCAGCGAGAGTGCTCTCCATATAAATGTCAAGGAGCTCAGGATGGTCAGGCTGGCCTGCCTAGCATTCCTACCCCACCTGAAGGACAAGGTAGTATCAGTACTGTAGTGTCCTCTATGCAAGGAAGCCCACCTCCTATGGGACCTGTGTGTTGCACACGGGATCTACCTGGAGGCATCCCACCTTCCAGGGAATTGCAACATACTAGCAGACAGGCTCAGCAGATTGTTCAGGGCCCATGAATGGTTCATCACGGGGGACATCTTGGAGGTTGTCTTCCAGAACTGGGATTATCCCTGTCTCTATCTGTTTGCTTCCCAGGGAAATTTCAAGAGCCTGAGCTACTCTTGTATCTGGGTCAGGGGAACGGGTCGCTAAGGGGCACTCTATTGGTACAGTGACCCCAACACCTCCTCTACATGCTCCTACCCTTTCTTCAACTGCAGAGTCCTCCAGATGATCAGGAGATGCGCAGCATTGGTCATTCTAATAGCCCCAGCATGGCCATGCCAGCACTGGTATCCCTTGCTCCTGGACCTAGCAATGGAGAAGCCCCTCATACTACCATTGGCTCCAGACTTGAACACCCAGGATCTGGGAGAAGGGAGGCTATGCCGCCCAAACCTGTCATCCCTCCACTTGGCAGCCTGGAATCTTCATGGTTAACTGGTCAAGAACAACTCTGTTCGGAGGCGGTCAGGAGGGTCTTGGTAGCGAGTAGAAAACCCTCTACGAGGGTAGCCTGTGAGGCTAAATGGAGTGCTTCTCGCTCTGGGCTAATGTGGCAGGAGTCGATCCAATGAGGGCCCATATCCCCCTTATTCTGGACTGTCTCCTTCACCTTCAGCAACAGGGCCTATCAACCTCATCTCTTCAGGTCCATCTAGCTGCCATTGCAGCATACCACCCAGGTGAAGGGTGCAGGTCGGTGTTTGTGAACATGCTAATTAAGCAATTCCCAAGGGCATAGATAAGTTATACCCATATGTGCACCAGCCCTTACCCACATGGGATCTCAGTGTG